TATATATAACCCATCTACACTCATAAACACCTGTACCCATAGCTAGGTATATACATGCATATCCAACTACGTGTTGGTATATCTACTTGTTAGATATGTATATATCTCTGGTTAGGATGGGAAGCTTGATATCAGGTTTATTCAATACATAACCCTTTGCTTCCTAATGCGAAAACAAAGTTTCGTGTAAATAATGTCTATGTAATAACTAGTCGATATTATCCGGCAAACAATCTGTGGCCTACCATTACAAACTCCCTGAGTCTCTTTGTTTGATACAATTAGCGAATGCTTGAAAAGGACCCTACTGTACTACCTCAACCTTTTATCCAACACCTCTCTTCCTCTCCCTCTCTCTCTCTCTCGTTTATGACTCGCATCAATTTTCATCTAACTAAACGAATACGATGTGCATTAGAAAATAAATTTCATTTTTTCCGATACATTTTACTACTTCCTTTGTAATTACGCGAACAGAGGCTCGTATTCGTAATAAATACATTTACAATTCATCAAACTTAAATGATACGAGAGAGAGAGTTATATATATATATATATATATACATAGAAAGAGAGGCAAATGCTATGGGATTAAACCTTTCGCACTTCAATTATTTTTGACCCGATTGTTAGTCAGCCCCAATTTAGCTTGTTTCCGTATTTTGTTATCGAATATAATTATTTTTACGCATCGATAATGCCGGAAGATACAATGATACATGAAACAAGGATGATAACAGTAGACGATATTATTCAATATATTTATCATTTAAATTCATTGACTTTATGTGCAATTATATTGGGTTGGAGAACAAGTTGTTTCTTCGTGGTTTCTCGAGTAATGATACTGATGTCTCAATTCCTCTCAAGCTTTTGTATTTTTTGATTTACTGGTATAAAAATTGGTGGAAAAAAAGAAGACATATATATATATATATAGTTCAATTTACTCGTGGATATAATCTGTGGTCTATCGAGAACTGAAACAGCAAGGAGAAATGGACTTTGAATTTGCGGTCTAAGCGTAAAAGGAGACACGTTCAATCGCGCAGATGCACTTGGCTCCTGTAACGACTACGACGATGACTACTACGACTACTACGACTACGACGACGACGACGACAATAATGCTCGAAGGCAAGCGACCGAGTTCAGTTTCTCGAGCCATTATTTACGAATCGCATTACCCCGATGCACACACACCGCACGGCCAGAAACTTCCAGTAATGGAGTATATCCTCCTCGACAACTTACAGTGTCTTCTTTTTTTTTTCTCCTTCTTTCTTACTTTCTTTTCTGGGAATCAATGTACCGACAAACTTCGAATTACCGTCGCGACGCCAGACGTTCTCTACCCCAACTTCTCATTCTCTCAGTTTTCACTATCTCATCGCTAACTTGTAGGTTCAGAAATAAGTGCCAATATGGAAACACTTATTTACATTTCTTGCTAATAAAAATAAATCATTATTTCGGAAAGCTTAAAATTTTATATAGTCATTTTTTAAAAATTATTTTCAAAGTTATGCCAATATAAATCTACAATTTTATAATTATTACCAAAATCTTAATGATAGTGTGAGATCCGAGCTATACTTCAACAGACCAATCGCCATTTCGTACAAAATGGAGCTATTGCTGCCATCTCTCGAAGAAACGTATCAACTACCTTGAAAGCGATTCGTATATGTTCACGATGCATTAAAGAACGCAGCATTTTCTTTTTATTGCAATAATAACAATTAACATATCGACACTTGCTAATGCATAACGCAGTTCCATTTAAATTGTTTCAAATATTTTACCCAAGACTGTACTAACTTAACCCTACACTGTCTTAGCAATAAGATGGGAAATTCATAATCAATATGCAATAGTTCAAATATAAACCAAAAATACGTTTGCAAAGTAACACAAATGCCATTTCTTTTTCCATCGTTCTTCATTCTTCCAACTGCACATTTTCTAAATTGTTTTTCAACCTCACCGACGGGATAAATAATTCTCATATTTTACGTTGCACGCGTTTTCTCTTCCTCATGCCTGATTTAAGATTGACGAAGCTGCTTCTTTTGAAAACATTTTCCCACTTAAATTACGATATACACTTTTGGCTGACCTACTTCGACAACCACATTCTACTTACCAAAACAGTACTTGTGGTATCTCAAAAGTCGTGATCCTTGAAACTGAGATCTCGTAAATGAAAAAGAACGTACCCGAGGGATCGATAATTCATCTTGTTTTCTAAAATGTTCGCATCTTTATATATTCCATGTGGAGCTCGTACATTATATGAGAATCAAGTATAACGAAGGATAACGTTATCAACAAAATATATAATTCCAAATTAAGTATCATTGTGCGTATATCAATTTCGTGTTTTGTTTTTATGGTTTTAAGCGAATTTTAGGACACCGCGTATATGCCAGTTTAAGTAGCAACGATATCGATCGATAGAATTTTTCCAATTCCCATGAGAAAATTGTCCATGGGAATCCGAAACGTCGGACTAGTATCCGTGAAATGGTAGAAAGGAAGATGCGAAACTTAATATGTGCCACAGGATAAACGTAGTAAGTGGAAAAAAAAGAAGAAAAGAAAAGAAGGAAAGAGAAAGAAAACAAAATATTCTTCTGTTCACCCTCGTGAAAATGTTACGGGTTACGTGGACAAGGGTTTATCTTAGCACCCTCGTTTTCTCTACTCTACACACAATTCTACCTTTTTCGTGAGCGTGTATGCATGTATACCTCGTACTTTCTCGTTTTTTATTTTATTCCATTTCTCTTTGTCTCTGCCAGGAGAAAAAGAATACATGACAATAAAAAATGTGTTCTTTCAGGAAAGTTAGAGAGGATTAAACGTCGCGTCGCATTAGACAAGCTGATCTTAACGATTATCTCGATTCGAGTTAAAATCCTGACGCAAGGCGAACACGTGGAAGAAGAATGGATCGAATTCGCGATTTGGTTCAATGTTTCATTTCGAAGGAACGTCTTATCGTCCTATTAGAATGGTATTAAACAGAATAGACGGCTTTGACTGTTAAATCGCTTAATCGGATCGTATCGATCCGTTTGCTAAGACCGCAGGATGAAAGAGGAAGAGTATCTTTTGACGAACTGAGACGAGAACCGAGTTGGATAGGGGTTGTGAGTGAGTCGAGGGATCTTAGAAACCAGGGAGGAGGAGGAGAAGAAGCAGGAAGGAAGTGAAAAGAAAAGAAAAGAAGTAGAAAAAAAAGAGTACACCAGTGGAAGGAAACTTCCACTTGCACGGATATCTGCATAGCGAGAAAGCCTCAAGAGGGAACTTTACGAACAGAATTCGTAACGAACCTTTACGTCTCTTTAAGTCTTCGTTCGTTCATTCGTTCGTTCAGGGGAAGGGGGAGGGAGGGGTGGGAAGGGGGTGGGGTGCAACAAACCCGAAGGAAAGGAAAGATCAGCTCGAGGATTCGTATCCTTTCCTGTCCCGACTTCACTTTACGTCCTTTCTGTAGCGCCCCGGGTAATTAGATTCACCGTTCGAGATCAAAGTGTACCGCCATTTCCATCCATGCCGGTAGCTTCTTCGGTACTTTTTTATTTTGTCACTTTTTCTCCACCCCCTTTCCTTCTATCTCTTTCTTTCTCTCTCTTTCAATTTTTCTTTTTCTTTCTTAGCTTTCTTCCTTACTTCTCGATTGACGTAGTGAAGCTTTACGTTCATGAACTTGCCGAAAGATTACGGACAGGATGTTTACTTTATTTTCAGCGGAAAATTGAATTTTGACTATAGATAAGGCATAGTAATTAGCAAACACGAAAACTCTACTTTATCCGAACGAGTTTAAGATCACTTTCTGATAAGTAAAACAACAAAAATATATATATAAATTTACAAAATAAACGGCTAATGTTTTGAACTTTTTATCAGGGTTAAAAGAAAAAATATTATGAAATAATTGCGGGTAAGAGAAAGAAATGAAGACAAAAAGACAAGTAAAAATTAGTCTCGCTACGGAATAGTAGAAAGAAGCCAGGCAACTCGTTGCATTAGGTTTGATCTTGTCGTGACTACACGACAGAGAGGGGTGGTGGTAGTAGTATTCCAGCGTCAGGACGAATTCATAACAGAGTCATAATTGCGGGGAACGGTGCTGGCGGTATGCATAATCCCGCAGTTAGCAGTTCTGCTTAACGATCCGCGAGAAGCAATCCCGACGCGTACCTGCCAAGCCTCCTGCAGGGTGAAGGCGTCCCGGCACAAACCTCCTTTCTCTCTCACCCCTTTTCCTCCCCGTCTCGTCTCTTATTACCTATCCTTTATCCTTTCCATCTCTCCCTTTTCCCCTTTTTCCTAGGGTTCCCTCGAAAGTGAAGTCAGATACGCGTGGTGGTAGTAAAAGAGGACGTGCCGTTGCGGTGGTAGAGGCGTGTGGCTTCGAACGCCTGAGAGTGACGTGGCAAAAACCCTGAACAAAGAGGGACGAAGAGAGAGAGAGAGAAAGGGTTACAGAGGGAAGAGGACGGAAAGAGGATAGTGGTGAGGTTCGTTAATTACAGCCCTCCGTAGCCAACGCCACCGCAGTCGACCGCGACGAGGAGAAACAGAATTGGTAGAGCGTCGCTACGCGTTACTAGCCACGCTAATATCTCCTCCCCCCCCCCAACCCCACCTGCCCCTTTCTCTATCTCTCTATCTCTTGTTGTCTCTCTCGCTCCTTTTACTAAACTACCCTTTACAATCGTTGATGCACCCTTTGATGGTGTATTAGACTTTCTTTCGCAAGATCATGGATCACCGCATGAGATATTTGGTTTTAAAGATTTGTATAGTTCTCCTTTAGGTATACAAGATTTTTTAATCTGTTTTTATAATTATCACGTCTAAATTATAATTAAACGAGTATATATATATATATATGTTTTAATTAACAAGAATTTAGGATTAAAATTACTTTGGTTCTCTGTGTTTTGTCGTGGGGTAAAAATGATTAAAGCAGCTGTACTCACCCGTATGTGTCCTTTGATGAGCTTTAAGATGTGAACTCTTAGTATATACTTTTTTGCATCCCGGAAATTGGCATTTGTGTATCCTGCGCTTTGTGTCAGGTGGGCTGTGCTCGTGGCTCCTCGCGTGATGCCTGTTGGATACCGTGCTCGCTGATGCATTCGCACCTGTGTGCGCGTGTTGTGTGCTCGCGACCGCTGAGAAGCCATTTGCCGTCACGGAGATTAGTCTGAGAGACAAAGCAATTAGTTTTCTCATTGTTCTTGAGTCGGTACAAAAGAAAGAAAAAAACAATGATCAAAGGTAATTAGGGAAAGATAGTAAAGATTATAATTATTGGGTGGTTAATCCAATATTACGAAAAGTTTTGTAAAAGGAACGAATAACGTTTAGGGAAAAGGACATTTTAAAAAATACCCTCTAGAATTGTCATGGCTGTTACTGGAACTTACTTGCAACTGGGATTGGGAGAAAGTAGATACTTGAGTTTTACGAGGACTTACCTCGCGACGCCCTGCGCGTTGCTGGTGGTAACCCTGACGATGGCACTCCTACCGCCCGTCCCATGAAGGTTGAGGTTGTGCACGTCGAGCATCGAACTACCGCTCGACGAGTGACTGGAGTTGGAATGACCTTGACCCGAGCCTGGACTCGACGGCGGTGTCAGGATCTGACCTTCGCTCTCGCACCCGCTATCCTCATCTTCCTCGATCTCCTATTACGGTAACGGTCATTCTCATTATGCAATGCGAGAAAACACTCGTAACGGAACTTATCTAAGATCTTTAGCTTCTAACTTTTAATGGACCCTAATATTTAACAGATTGACATGACTTTTTTTTATCAAACTTCTTACTAGAGAACTTTTATATTAAATTATTTACTAGCATGAGAGAGATAAAAATTTATTGATTTGGAGTATTTGAAAATATTTTCGTTGAAACAACGATCAATAATATACCTCGTGTTCTTCATCCTCCTCAAGATCTTCGCTTGGTTCCTTTTTAAGAATAAGCGCTGTACAGGAGAGAGAACGCGAGCTATCCCAAGATAACGCCGAACACGCTGAACTAGCCGAGGACATCGATAAAGAATCGAGGTGTCGATCGAGAAGATCCCTATCACGGCCATTGTGGTTGTGATCGCTAGGGCCAAATTTGATGTCCTCCAGACAAAGCGTTTCTCTCTCGTCTGACGACGTCGTTACCTTCGTGACAGAATAGAATAAGAGCTTTAACTTGAATCGGGAAAGACTTCGAACAACTTCAAGAGTGAATACAAACGTTGAACGTGGAAAGTGAGATTTTTCGCTTCGTTGAGATCATTCTTACGGTTACTCACCTCCATTTTGATTGGGGATTCGAATTGTGAATTGGCGGTGCCGGTTGTTGCCGTCCAGGAGATAGGTGGCGCCCTGAAAAGATTCCAGGGTGCTGTGTCCAATTCCGTGGGCAACTTTTTGTACGATTGTAACTTCGGCTCGTCCTTCAGGTACCTCTCCATCTCGTAGCATGTCTGAAAGAAGAGACAAGAGGGTTCGTTAGTGGGGTGGATACATCTTAGCCGTTTCGTCTTTGTGCTACGTACTGTAGATGCTGGAAATATCAAGGGACATATAAAACGAAAGGAAAGAAATATAGTCGACTCCGACTAACTTTCAAAATCTAACTTTTTTCGATACACTTTTTCTTCCACGTTTCAGATTGTGAAATAAATTTTGTCTAATTTCATAGCTGAAATTCATCTCATGACTAATGCTATTTCAATCTAAAAGACGAAGCTGGTACCTAAACAACGTAGAAAATTATTAGGCGAAGCACGTTATATATATAGAAGTACTTTGACGTAACTAGTCCGAAGTTAGGAAAGTTGGTAGTCTCCTGTAGGCTGTGCCAGTTTGGGCTATAGTTCCTCGGAGAGAGTGCAAAGTTATAATATCTACTGGTAGGAATTGTGCAACAACCATAACCCCAAATGAGATTACGTCGTCCTAAACCTAGTCAAGTCCCATACAACTCGCCAGCATCCCTACTGACTTCCTTCGGACAACGTGTCCGTGTTCAACCTATAACAAATAGTTTTCCTTTCGATCCTATAACTAACCGAACAATCTTTCGCAACTGATATATCAATTTTTGTTCGCATTAATGTATTCCAATAAATAATAACAAATTAATCGCACGGACATTAATATCAAAATTCTTCAACTCTGTCATCATTGGTTTTGCATATTTTACTAAAATTACGAGCAACCCTAACGATACGGAAAGGATCGATAGGACAAGGGGGAATCAGCTGCGATTATAATCTTGCTTAATACCGTAAAGACCAACATCGGCATCGGCATCGGCATCGGTATCGGCATCGGCATCGGACGCGTTTCCCAATCATCGTAACGCTAATCGAAGCTACGAAATAGGAAACGTGACCAAACGCTGTAATATCTGAGCATGGGGAATGGATATCGACTGGAGCGACGACGACAACGTCGATAGCAAAATGCCGCGACGCTTATCGATTCTCCCTTCTTTTTCTTCCTTCGCCATCATCACTCCACCCCCCCCCTTTATCCTCATCTACTACTTCTTTAACTTTACTTCTAACACTGAGCTCTCGTTGTACCCTCCCCGCTCGCTCACTCTTTCACTTCTTCTTCTTCTTCTTCTTCTTCTTTCTTCGAACTTTTGTCAAGCGAACGATGCCGAGAGGACAAGAATTTTCGACGTGGCTTTAAAAAAAAAGCGAAGGCGTCGTTTAAAAAGGCCGTCCATTTTCTTGTTCGACAAGGATTCTTTAGCAGAAACAATGTGACATCGGCACGAGGAAGTTCGAAGAGTGCGCGTGCATGATGCCCTTTGATTCTTCCATCCATCCTCTCTTTCTTTATCCAACGTTGAAAATAATCGCTCTGGCCGACTTTTCCATTATTCACGATTAAAAGTTTGCTGTGGAAAGGTGAAGAAGAAGTGGTAAAGGGTAGGGAAGCGAAAAGAGGGAAGGAAACACTCCTCTCTCTAACGACGTTATTATAATCTTAAAAGGAATTTTATCAGCGTCTTGGTAACAGTCTGTTCTTGATAGATGCCGCTGCATAAATTCAGCGTTATTGCCTTTTATATTTTTTTCATATTTTTTTTTTTTTCTATTTTCCCTCTTGCATATAATTTGCAATGTTTACAGGTTGTTTCTGACACGCGAATAAGGTTGCTACGAATGTAGATAATGTTTGAATTCAATCTTGATTTGTAATGCACCCAACTATAGTTTTGGTATTTGATAGAGAAAAATAGTAATCGAATCTTTGGTTAGAGATGGAATTTGATTATATTTTTAAACAAAGCTTATGCTTCTCTCGCGAAAATATTTCCATTCCTATTGTTTTGTCGTTCGTTTAACGATACTTCTAAGAGACAAGTAAAGAAATAAAAGAAGACTCGGAAAAATAAGCAAGAGCTTTTCGCTTATGAGAGTTTGCCAGCGTAGCTTTACGACTTCTTCGAAGCTACTTGACCAACTCGTCTTTTTTGCCATTGGGTCCATTAAATACTAAACTGCGTAATAATTCAAGGAAGTTGAGGACGTCTTCGTGGTCTATCACAATGGCCGGGAGTCCGTTTTCCGAGCATGGAAGAATTTTTCCGCGAAATTGTCCATTACGATTTTAGACGATGTTGAATTCTGTAAAGTCTCGAATATATGATCTACAATTTCCATTGAAAATTCTAAAGCGAATGTCAAGTGCAGTTGTTATTCTTGCTAGCCAAACATTTCATCGAATAAATAATATCGGTAAAATAATCATAAGACAGATTTATTGCAAGGCAAAATGTTATCAAGCGATAGAAAATAATTCAGAGTCGAGAATATAACAGCGTCGTTTATATAAATCGACGAGGAAAATAATCTAGATGTTACCGTATAGTAAAACAAACAAGACACAGCTAAGAAAACGAGAGGAGAAACTATAACAATGAAGTAGAAGAAATGAGAAGGAAGAGGCTGAGAGTAGAAAGTAACGATTCTTGATGTTTTTTATCGCAACCGTTCGGGTATATATACCTTGATATGAAATCCACGCTAAGTTTTTTTTTCTCTTTTTCTTTTTTCTCTACTTCAACTGTGAATTCGATTCAGGCGGTAATCACTCGGCACGAGTAGACGCATACAGTTGGTACGGTATAATGAGATCTCAGAAAGAAAAATGAATCATTCTAGGTGATCTTTCGAAAGAAGGGGGAAACTGAGACATCTGGAGGAAAAAAAAAGATAAAGCTTAGGGAGTGACGAATGAGTGTCGGTATGTATACACGTAACGTGTGTATTAAGAAAAGCAGGAAATGCTGGAAGAAGAAAAGAAGAAACGAGACGAGTGGAGAAAAACAGAACTATAGAAAAAAAAGAAAAAATCTAGCTGCGACCTAGTTCGCGAATACTAGTACTGGTACTAGTAGTAGTAGTAGTAACAGTACTGTAAGGGGAGAGGTAATCTTCCGGCTTCTCCGTTCGAAGAACTCTACGAGCTAGATTCGCCTTTTCTCTCAGCAGATATCTCTCAGCAGATATCTCTCAGCACGTATCTCTAAGTACACATAGACACATAGAGAAACTTACGTAGATGCATACACTCGGTTTCTCGCAATTTCACTAGGAAAGGAAAATGCGAAGTTCCGCAGTAATTCCGTGGGACTGTCATTATCAGAGCCGGTGGCTCGCTCGAGAGAAAATGAATGATAACCCTAGCAGGATTCTTGCGAATACGATTCACGTGAACGCGCATTCCCGCGCGCGCGAGCACATGACCATCGAAAAGCTTTTCAGTTTTCCCCTCTTCTTCTTTTACTTCTTCTTAGGTAGTCCTACCAACGGTGGCAGCCTGCCAGGTCGTTAAAAAGATTCCCGCAACTTTAAGGGCGCCGTAAACCCGCGAATTTATCTCGCCTTTCCCTCCCAACCCAACCTCCCATCACCACAACTTTCTTTCTCTTTCACATGCGCTTTCTTCTCTGGTACCGTGTCTCTTTAGCTTTCTTATTCTTATTTTTATTCTTTTCTTCTGCGAGAACCTACGAAATTTTCGATCGAGCCGACGACGTTCCTTCTCACTCAGCTCTTCCCTCCCCACCTTTCATCTTTTTTATTGCACCCATCTTTTTCTCGAACCATCCTTTTTCTACTTTATTCTTCTTCTCACCCTCCTCCTCTTTCTTCCCTTTCTTCTTTTGCTTTAGTCACGCTAAGAGGGCGGAGTCAGGTAAATTTCGAAAGGATCGGAGCAGCTTTCGGACGAGGAAAACGATTAAATGGAATATATCTCTTCTTTTGGGTCATTGTGCCGCGAAAAAACCTTGCCAAAACGGAGATAACGACTCGACATTGGCACGTCACCTTGGCGCTACGATTTAACTGTACGATTCACGGTGCATAATTTATGTACTTACTCACTTCTATACTGTGCGTTTACTGTTATTACGGTACTTCGTGAGCTTCAAATATTCACTTTTTTCTTTCTTATAATTAATCAACTTGCATAAACAATAAAAAGTAATTTCATAAACGACTAATAATAAAAGTTAACAGGAATGATAGAAACGCACTTTTAATTGAAAACATTTTTAGAATACTTCCTTCATTTTTTCACACATACAATTAATAACCCAACATATTGTAGGGAAGAAAACATTCCAAGGAATTCGGGATGATTCGCGGAATGAAGATAAAGAAAGCGTGTAAAAAGAAACTTGCGAGTGAATATAACCGTTTTGGTCCACCGGCCACAGCAGTATCCAGTCAAAACTGCATCAGAAGGGCATGACGATACTCAACAAATGAGAGGGAGAGAGGATGATGTCCTGGGGTCAGGGTTAACGACGCTAACAAGCCGTGGTTGAGTGACTTACGACTAATTCAGAGGTTCTGTTGTCCTCTTCTCACCACTGAACGATATCCCTGGACAGATGCCTCGAGTGCATTGCCGGCTCTTGTCCAACCAATAGAAATGCTATGCGGGCATCTAGCTAGTCTCGTTAAGGGCTCATCGTTCGTTCGTTCGTTCATTCTCTCTCTCTCTCTCTCTCTCCTCTCTTTCCTTCTTGGCCATGCCAAGATGGAGAAGACATTTGCAATTGTTTGTTATTGTTGTGACGTCATCTCGTTAAGGATCTCCATGCGTCTAAGCTCGTTAACTGGCAATTTGTAACCACTGGGACTATGACGACGACGACGTCGACAACGAAGACAACGACGATGGAGAAACGCACTCGGTAAAGTAAATTCCCTTTGATATCGGTTCATCCGCTAAAGCGTGGAACCTGTTCAAGAAACGAGCTCAGTTGCTTTAGCCCGTAACCCTAACTACTAGTTTACGATCTCTCACAGACACACACATCGTCTAAATGTAACACGATGTATTCTGACGTTAGATGAATACACATAAGAGATCGTAAAGTCTTCATAATTCAAGAGTGTCTCGACGACGTAACACAGTAGCAGGTAGTAGTTGTTCTTAAGAACACGTA